GTTTTTACATGTGAGACGTGAATCCAAGATAAGATATAAGTTACAAAAATCAAAAATGTATTTTGGAGACAAAGATAAGATTCAGTTTCAGTATGTGAGAGTTGAGAGCGAAATGCTTAGTATTATTGAATGGCTGAAAAACAAGTGTGCTTTAAAAGGTGCTCAGAGTGTCACTGAATGCGTGGCTGAATGAAACAATGCCAACTTTAAAAGCTCCTTCTGTTAACACCAAAGTGCTGTAGAAGCTCAGCGTGGTTGTAACTAAGAAAACTATTCAATGTATGTTTAATTTATTTGACTTGGCACTATCGTTACAGAAGCACTAAGCTTGGCTGGATGTACTGTAGTGCGCAGGAGAGTGCCTCAGCCTCCAGCTGCTGGATGCTTGTGTGACTTCTGTCTTGGTGCATCCATGCATACATTACATACAGTAATTCCCCTAAGTAATGTACTGTATACTGCAAAAAATACTAAGAGGCTTGCTTTTACAGAAGCTGCTCCACGGCATGTTACATCATATTAAAGTTAAAAGTGAAGCTCAAAAGGCTACATTAGTCAATAAAATCATCTTTGATTGGAACATAAACCAGAGAAACATTTTCTTTAAAACCTTGTCATCCTTTATGGATACATTGAAATATACTACAGTACCAGCAAGCCAACAGACTCTGTATTTCCCCTCTGCTCTTTGTCATCCTTATGGTACATGACTCTGCAGCAGGTTAAGTGCTCTGTTTCAGCAAAGCAAAGTCAATATTGAGTTAACTTGCAACAGAAAAGCATAAATAAAAGTATCAGCCTTTATCACAATGCAAAAGGATGAAAGACAGTAATGTAGTAATGCAGTTAGGGGGACAGCAGTACCATTACATAATGTACAAAATAAGATGATCTGTGTTATATTACACTATCTAAAGATTGTAAAATCTCATTAGACAAACACAATAAAAGAGTTACTTTAAAAAGTAAAGTGAGGACATTAACCGTACATAGTGTTCTCTATCTTAATACATTTTTACATTTGAATACAATCTGCATACAAACCTTGAAACCTTGTTACAACATGAAAGCAGCTGCACTCAAACCAAATGCTCTGCTCTACCTGTTTCTGATGATGTAACACTGTCACTTAACATCTGACCAAACCATGTGCACCAACTGCTACATTTTAACATTTGGGAGCACCTGCACTTTGGTATTTTACAGTGAAATGTTGTCTGAAGAACCTGTAACAATCTTATCAAATGTAATGTTCAGATAAGGCTTCAAATCAACCATATTGGGAAGGTAAATACAACAATCACTTACAAAGTTGACCCAGATGTATAAACTAAATATGTGCTTGCTGAGCCTAAACCAATCAGAAATTATTCAGAAGTAATTGATGGTTACTTACTGTCACCACTACAACCGCTTTCCATCACACCATATGGTGGGGCGAGCAGTCCAGCCATGCACTGATGATATTTCTTAAAAAAAAAAAAAATTACAAATCAGTCATGGCAGTCTCTGGTTGACAATAAATGTTCAGTTTCACAGAAATGTGTCATCTGAATCACATACAAGATATAAAAACAGCATATTAACACACAGGGTTAATATGATTTAAGCACATTATGTGTCAGGAGTGTAGCAGAGTTATAATTTGGTAAAGAAAACGTTGTCCTTGTGTCTCGTCCATTCATCCACTCGGCCATGGGAGGCCCCTGGTCCAGTGTGGGTGTCTAACATGCTGTAACTCTTCAGCTGACATTGCCACTTCAGATAGAGATGTTTCCATTTTTATCAGGATTGCCTTCAGCGAAGATGTACTCAGAGTATTGACTTAGAAAATGTATCAGCAAAACAATGTGAAGAATTATCAGCAAAATGCCTCTTTAGTATCAAGTAAAATATAACCACTGTACTGATTTATTATTCAGGCACATCATTCTGGTTTTGCCATACAAGGAATTTGCCTTGGTGTATTGGTGCTATTGGTCAGCTTTCAGTTAATTGGGTAAACCAGGTTAAAACTGACTCCTTAAATAAATAATGTTATTTTTTAAATATTGGTTTTATTTTGGTGTTTGAAACTTCATTATTAATCAACAAACTCAATACAACTTTTGCCAAAATCTAATTCAGAGTTTTGGTATCTACTCTTTTTTAATTTTTTTTTATTCTTGAATGTCGTGCAGGTCGCAGAGAGCCGAAGAGCCGCAGAGCATGACAACAAACATACATGCTTTATACACCATAACTGTGCCCTGTAGACTCAAAGGATGTTATGTAATGAACAACATAATGCGTCCCATAGACTGTTGAAATGTCATGTTTCTGTCCGTGACACTGAGGTCAATCCAAGCGTAGCAAATGAGCAATACACAATATATTACCTTAACATTCAAGTCTATACATTCAAGGCCCCATTTGAAAAGCTGTGTTAGTGTCTAGCATACATTAATTAACTAAAGAGATATACCAAAGATATATTGATTTTACAGAGGTTAATCATCATATCATTATTAGTATCTAAAATGGCTTTTTAATCTGCATTGAATCCCTTTGTTGTTGTTTTTTAAAATACTCCATTTGCATCTGTAAAATAAAAATAAAACACACTTGATCAAATAAAAGCATTTAGCCTGTACTCCAGTAGGAGCTAATTGTATTTTCTATCTGATTTCAAACAGGTAGACTGATGGTTCAAGATTAATTTGTGGTAAAAGACAAAAAGAAAGTGATTATGTGTCAGGGCAACTACGCTCCGAGTCGATAAAAAGATGATTGAGGACCACTTACTGACCGCTCACTTCTCTCTACCTTGCAATCATATGTTCAAAAGGACCGAACAAAAGCACGCTCCATTTGTTCCTAGTTGTGTAACGTACCCTCAGAGGTCATGCCTTTCAATTCAATTCTGTTAATCACTTTAGCATCCCTTTAGGGGCTTCCTTCAATTAAGAAGCAGTTCAGAAACGTCTCAACGACCTGTGTTTTAACCAAATTACTTTTTGCTACTTCTCAAGACACTGAAAGATATGAATTCATGCTAACTAACGCCACACTCAGATGTTAGAATGGGTGTGTTGTGTTAGGTATAGTATTGCACGTAAATCGACAAAACTGAAGCCTCAAAAAGTCTATCTGTGTATCTTTGATGACAGTTAAAGGATTTAGGATTAGGGAGGAGCACTTAAACTAAGCTATACATGAACAAATGAACTCAACCCCTCTGAGACAATAAAGCCTCTCCCTGAGGATCCAGTACCAGGGTGGGGGTGCTGTTTTAGACCAGGCTTAGGACCATTGTCAGGTGTGTAAAAAGCACTCACTTTTTATCTTGTTAGTAATGATGACTCTAATGACTCTTAATGCTTTTGTTTCTTTTGCAACCTCCAGCTTGCCATTAAGTCCGATTGCATACAAGAAACCATTCATCTATTAGACGATCAACGGAAACATTATCAACAATATCCCTTTAAGTCTTTTTGTTCGGAATATTCCTTAAAGTATAGTAAAGTGATCAATACCATTGTTCGCACATCCTGACGGATATAACAGCATCATGTAGAGAGAACTGCAGTTAAACTACAATTGTGACAAAGGTTATAATTAATAGATAAAAGGCCAGACTTAAAGATTTATAAGCCTTGTCTATAATGAATTAAATGAGCCGTGTTACCTTGAAACACAAATATGCATGGCAACACTTCATGTCTCAATAAAACAACCATTGGGTGTGATTTATTGTGCATCTACTTCCTCGGAGTCTCTCGCTTTTTAACCTCAACACCGACAGAGATGTCTTTATCATCTATTGTCTTCAGTAGTAGAGGAAAGCCACACCTGTAATTGCTTTTTTACGATCACTGAGTTGTTACTACACATCAGCTGTTATGGGCAGTCAATAGTCATGAAGCACAAACAAGCTTCACTTGGACACACACACACACACACACACACACACACACACACACACACACACACACACACACACACACACACACACACACACACACACACACACACACACACACACACACACACACACACACAGTTCATTTCAATGAGTAATGTCTTTTAATAAACAGTATGAGCCTAAAGCTTTGTAGGATCAATTGACAATAAACAACCGTAATGTTTAAAACCCACTGGAAGGTTGTGTTGTTTTATTTGAGCCCATTTCAGTGTCAGTGAATATGACTCGTCTCTTCCACAACTCACAGAATAGCACGTTATTAACTGAATGTTTACACATTTTAAAACATCGCACAATCATCTAAAATGTCCAGAGAATCTTGACTCCTCTCTGCTCTCTAAGTCTAACTGTAATTTCCCTGCTGCAGAGACTCTGGTCACTGAGCAGAGTGGAGAGTTGGCCTGTCCGGTGTCCCGTCAGCACACAACCACGCTCACCTCAGCAAACAGGAGGCTTAGACAAAACTCCTGACAAGGCAACAATGCAACAATGCCAACGGTTGAGTCTTAAAGGAATACCTCACCCCCAAAATGACCTTGAATGTTATCTGAATTCTTGAAAAAGAGTTTTACATGCATCCAAACAATGAAACAAATCTTGATAAAATTCAGTTAATGGAGTTAATTTGTATCCATTAAAAGTAGATATTTGTTTTCTTTGTTAAAAGATTCCTAATTTCTCTACATAACAGACCAGATGACACATCTCCTTCATTTACACCACAGTTCATACTGTGAAATCTCTGCTTCTGTATATGGAACTGAACATGATGCAGTCATAATGCCCAGATGTAAGTTAACTGTTGACTACCAACACACCTGTTTTTTGTATCAATTGCTTTAAGTAACATAAGTATTTAGCAAAAGGGTTTCATATTTGAAATACTTAGCAAATGGGTACAGAGTGCTACTGTATCTCAAAGAACACATTAAACTGAGTTCATTGCTGCATTGCTGCGTTTCTGCCAACAGAGGGCGATAGAGCTTCTTTAAATCTTACTGTAAAAAGCATCACTAGCTTTTAAACAGAAACTCACCCTCAAAATCCTGTTGAAGTCTTCCTTGTCGACTCTCAGGAAGTGACAGTTGTCCTCTCGCAGGACAATGGAGGCAGCGCGGGGGGCGTCATTAACCAGAGCGAGCTTCCCAAAGTCATCTCCCTCATGAAGAGTGCAAACAACACCCTGAGACACAGAGAACTGATCAGTTTCTGACCAATGAATCGATGACCTGGTCCGATCTACATCATCATGGGACTGATTTAGGAATAATGTGAACTCATCTGGAGAAATACCTACTTTCCCATAGATGACAACGTTGACTGAGCCCTTCAAAATAATGTACCATGATGTGCCCTCCTCCCCCTGACTGAACACTGAGAGATAAAAGAAACACAGCATTAGTAGTCTGATTATATTCTTGGAATTGTTAGATTTAATTAATCATCACTCTGTAATGACCTCTGCAAAAAGTAATGATGAATTATACTTCATATTTATTATGTTTGAGGAATGTCATGTTCTACTTGTAGGCCTATTGAACTGTATTTGATTGCCTATGATTAAACACTAAGCTCTCCCAATGTTTTAATCTTACTTGTAATTCACGTTGATCTCAGTGAAGCCGAAGACTATTTTCCACATTGTGGATACTATAAAAATGTTCGATATACTTCAGGGGTAGCCTGAGTTTTGAGCTCTTTGGACAATAAAGTTTCTAAAGTTAAGTGTTTGGCATCAGCAGTTTAAAGAGGTCACATCACTTATTTTACTGCATTACTTACACACTGTTCCTGCCTTCGCATGAGACTCAAAGATCAGCACTCCTGCCAGCTCTCTCTTTACCTGCAGAGGAGACAGATTTATTGCTCGGGAAGATCAATATTAACACAAATTCATTTTACTTATAGTGCAACAGGGAGCCTCTAGAAAGAGCTAGTCAATAACCTGAACTTTTCCTAAAATGGACTGAGTTCAAATCTATAAAAAAGCCCTGCACTTTTCAGCAATTACTTCTCTTTCTTTCTTTCTTTCTCTTTCCTCCAATCAGAGTGATTTCCAGTGGCAATGAGATGAATTTCAAAGGTTGCAACTTGCATCGTTTTCTTCACTCTGCTCGTTAATGAAAGCAAGTCTGAGAAGTTTAGCTGGATTTTCACTGACCTAAAAGAAAGGTGCAATGTGTGCACAGGGACCACAGGGTTAATATGGCCAAACAAGACAACAAACTCACAGTGGTGGATAGGTGAGATAATGCCTTTATATGGAGCAGCTCTTCATAGATGATCTCCAAATCATCTGCCGCTCTTTCAGACGGACTGGAAAACAGGAAATATGTAAATGGAATCATAACACCATCACAATGAATAATCAGTGCTTGAATTGGAATAAAAAAGGTGCCAGTACTCTAAATCAGCAACTGTTTCAAGTCAATTTATTTATACAGCCAAAAAAAAAGTATCTGGCTCAAAGTCATATAGTATATTCTATAATGCTGGTGGGTTTGTCTCTTTACTGTATATTTTAGAAAGGCTCACTGTACGTAAACAAAATGACTCAGGGTGCATCTGAGATTAGAGGGGGTGCAGTGGTAAAGTCCTATTTTTATAAATGGGGTGTGGACCTGACACCCTAGGGGGGGCATTCTCCCCCGGGAAGATTTTTTTTAAATATGGAAGTTAGATGCATCAATCTGGTGCACTTTGGGAGCAAAAGGAAGAGATATCTGGATACCTCTCAACATCCATATGAAACAACTGTAAACAGATTTACTTTTTCTTTATGGATATAAAAGAAAGTAAAGCTTGACTCCTACTGGCTGGTTAAATGACTCCTCGTCCCTGAGGCCACTACCAGTTTTTTGTGCCATTTTGCTGGATTTATTTGTCAATATTTACAGCGTTGCTGCCCAAAGTGATAGCCCTCCAGTTTAAATCTACTACCCAAAAAGACACATATGGAGTATGGGTTACTATTTAAA